AAATCGTCGATTCTTGGTAAGGGGTAACGGTTCTTAACCGTCAGCTTGTTCAACTCCCGGTAATCAATGCACATCCGGTGTGAACCATCCTTCTTCTTGACAAAAAGGATCGGTGCTCCCCACGATGAGCCACTCGGCCGTATAAACCCCTTTCCCAGCAGCTCCTGAAGTTGCGAGGATAACTCCTGCATCTCTGGAGGCGCAAGGCGATAGGGCGCCTTGGCGATAAGCGTCGCTCCCGGGACCAAATCGATACGGAACTCTACCTGCCTCTCTGAAGGCACTCCCGGAAACTCCTCGGGAAAACGTCCGGGAACTCACACACTATTGGGACCTCATCGACCGACCTTGGTCTCCCTGCACCTACTCTCGTATCCACCACATAAGCTACAAACTCGCTACAGCCTTGTTGTAGGCTTTTCCTCGCTCTGGCGGCCGAACAAAATGCTGACCCAGAACGGGTACCCTTGCCATAAACCATAAGAACTCCCCCACTAGGGTCTCGTATGGTCACCATTTGTCGCTCGCAGTCGATAACCGCTCCAAACTTGCTCAACCATTCCATGCCCACGATGACACAGACATCTCCCCTTACAATCGGGACCAAATCAATCGGAAACTCAACGCCGAAGATCTCCAGCACGCATCCTCAAATCACATCAGTGGCATACACCACTATCTCGTCAGCAATGGAAACTCGCAAAGGTCGACTCAACGCCTCACGACAGCCACTGATGTGCTGAAAAAAGGCTAACGACACAAAAGACCAAATCGCACCCGAGTCAACTCAACGCCTCAACTAGAAGGCTCTCCCGTGAGCCTTTGGCGCCTTGGCCTTCGCTGGCCGACTCTCCATAGCTCGAACGGAAGCAGGGGCAGATCCCTGTGATGCTCCCTGTGCTGACCCCCACAACTGCGAACACTCGGCCTTCCAGTGTACAGTCTGGTTGCAGTGAAAACAAACTGCAAAACCCTTGGGACAATCCTTGGCCATGTGCTCTCCTTGCCACACTTGTAGCAAGAGCCTGCCCTACACACCCCCTCATGACTCTTGCCTCACTTGCCATAAGTGCGGCCCTTCTGGTTCCTTCCTCTCGAATCGGCGGGCTTGGCTCACTAGGCAGCCGGTTGGGACTGTGCCGATCGCCGATCCCTACCCTGAGACTCCGCCTCCTCCCTGGCCGGAGTCTCTAACTCAATCTCCCTCTTCCGGGCATTTGCCTGAAGCTCGGAAAATGTCTGGTACGTCGAGTTCGCCACAAACTCGCGGATGTCTCTCCTCAAAATGCTCAAATATCTACTCATGCGTGCCTGCGCAGAAGACACGTGCTCAGGGCAAAACATCACCCTCTCATGGAACATCATGGTGATCACTGTAACAGACTCGGTACCCTGCTTGAGGGTCAAGAACTCCTGGGCCAAATTTTCCCTTTCCAACTGGGGGAACGTACTCATCACGAAACATAGTGGTGAACCTTTCCCTGGTCACCGCGGGAAGCTCTGCAGAAGAATAGTGCGCTGTCACAAGCTTCCACCAGTCCATCGGTCCCAAGCAAAGTTGGTTCAGCGCGAACCAAATTCTCAGATGATCTGGACAAGAACACGTATAAAATCACCCCTCAATATCAGAAATCCATCTCATTACAACGATCGCATCTTGCGTCCCATCAAACTCTGGTGGCTTCGTGTTGTTGAACTCTCGGTACAACAACGAGTCACCCCCTGTGGCCTCGCAGCAGCAATGGCTGCGGTGGCCGCAGCAACATCAGCATCAGTAAGAGCAACGTAACGCTCATCAAAATTCTCGATTAGGGTGGTCTTGATAGACCTAAACATCTCTGGTATCTCAGCTCGGATGGCAGCAGCCACCTCCTCATGAATTAATCGACGGATCTCCTCATCGCTAACACCACTACTCTCAGGTGGGTGGCATGTCCTAACCATGATGCCTCTCTGAAATACAACACAAAAATATCCGAGACTCGCTTGAGTGTACACACACTCGATATCCCATTGCTACTCGCTCCCTGGTACCCTAAGGATTCTTACTTGGGCTGCGCATTGATCCGGTGCCTTCGGTAGTACGGGCCCAATACCACTATCCACACCGTATTAATATTCACCCCAAGTCCTCCTCCTAAGATCCCAAGTCCTAAGTACTCTACTCTCTTTATGCATAATCTACTCTCAAGCAGATCCCTCATAAGCTCCTCCTTGCTATATACTCACTCTCAAGCATCTCCTAGCAGCAAAACCCCTAGGCTAAGGCATCACAAATCAGGCCACTCTAGTCCTAATAAGAATTCCTAGCCTACTCTAGCATGCATCTCATATCATAACATATCTCATAACTCATAATGTAAGGGTATTCTGGGGAATCAATGTTCGGGCGTTGGCTGATCGTACACACTACTCTGCTCTGCTTGTCTCAAAACCTTTTACTCTTTTCGAAAAAAAATTATTATGAAAAATTTCTCAAATCCTTAGTTTAAGTTCAGATACGCCTGAAGGTGCACCCG